CCTTGGAATAAAGGAAAATGTAAGAAATCATATAACATATTGGAAATCATGAACAAAATATACAAAATTATACAAGCAGAGTAGGTGAAAACCTTCCTATTTTACCAGCCTTTGTCGCTGGTTTTTAATTGTACTTTAATTACAGTTTTAGTTTTGGATGGCAGCCTCACATTCTCCTAGTTTATTTGGTGTTGATTTTATGAACTGTGTTTTTATTTTAAAAGTTTTAGTGTACTTTATTGTAGAGAGCTTCATTTATTGGTGGTTTAAAAATGTAAATAAAAAAGTTCTATCTTAATGGTTTGTGCATCTAAAGAGGCAGTTTGCCAGATTTCTTATTTACAATAATTTGAAGTTAGGTTGACTTGCCAAAATTCTTCTCTAGACCCAGGAGCCTATTTGGAGATTTCATCCGGGAACACATGTGACATAGAGTCATTCCTGGTGCATTTAAGAAAAGCAACTGCTTGATTGTACATTATACAGGCAGAGAGATGAGATCATATGGGGGCTGAGCTAAAAGGAATGTGAAATCCGGATGAAGCCAAGTCAGAATTACTGCTTTGTTCAGTCATCTGCACCTGTGAATATGGAGGTGGGGAGTTATGAGGCTACTGGACAAGCTCAGTGTTCCAGTAATCTTCCTTCTTCCCACGACTTCTTTGCCATTCCTTCCAGCATCCAAACTCTTACTCCCGTATATTTTCATCTTTGAGAAACCTGAAATAAATTACAATGTTATGTTCAATCTGATGACTAATTACTGATAGGTACTTGCCTAATATAAGTCCTAATAGTTGTGGGGGTGGTTCATGTTTCCTTCTACTGCAGTTCTGTTGTTGATCGTTGGAATCTAATGATCCTAAACTGTTGTGCTTTCTGCTATGTTTGGTTCTTTGGAATGAAAGACGGGGCATATCATATGTATTCTCAAAAATGTCCTCAGTCCACCTTATGGTGAGTTTTGATTGCTCCACTTTAGGCGGAGACCATATTATCATAAAATCAACTTCAAGTACTTGTTTTTTGTTCTGAACAATATATAGCTTTAGAAAGAGGAAATACAGTGTTTCTTCAAATAATAAATAAACATTTTTTGACAATTTTGAATTGTTTATATTGGAAACCCCTAAATTTGAATCACCTTATTCTGCCTACTCTGTAGCAACTGATCTAAAAAAATATTTTAAATATTCAAGATCAGTGGTGGCATTCAATTTTTTTACTATCTGTTCTGTGGGCATGGCTTGGCGGGTGTGGCAGGGGAAGGATACTGTAAAATATCAATTCCCTCCCCATTCCAAGGGAAGGTTACTGCAAAATCCCCATTTCTTCCTGATCAGCTGGGACTCAGGAGGCAGAGAATAGATGGGGGCGGGGCCTGAATAGAATAGATTTTGAGTGGCTTATAAAATCCAAATGCATATTGTGTCATTTAAACATCTTATTCTGCATTTAATCTCTCCAAGTCTTCCTTCCCTATATACTAACATTTGTACCAGAGAGTTGGGTATCGTGCTAAATCACTGTTTGGCTTGGTAGATTTAGTTTTGAGGCTGTGTGAAACCAGGAAGCTTGGATTTATTTAACAAATAAACAAATTAGCATGATATTTGATGATCTCAAGTCTTGTAGTGCTGCTTCATTGTGAAGGAAAATGTGCCTAGGAGAGATGAGTGAAGAATGCTGATGGTATATTTTTCCAGCAGATTCATACAAGGTGTGAAGGTCATCCTAGCTTCAAGCTAAAGCTGAGGATCTTTTGCAAAATAAATGGTGTTTATTTTATTATATGTATAATTTTATCAAGAATTTTAGTTATAATAGTAAAATCTAATACAGGGCTGTCAAAGTCGCATCCCACAGGCCGGATGGGTCACACACTGGCCATGCCCATGCCCGGTTTAGCGAAGGGGGAAAAATCACAATACGTCATATGACGACACTGTGATAATGCAAGTGTAATACCCCTGATCTAATACAGACTATAGAAAAAGAAGTAATAGAAAGGAGTAAAAAGTACAAGAAAAAAAAAACAGAAGAAAGAAAAAAATAAGAATATAATAAGGATAAAAGAAATATATAAAGATCATTTCCAAACTTTATCACTACAAGTATAAACCAATTTAGTAACACTGTGTTACAAGGTTCAAAACAAGGAAAGTGGAAGATTGGATTTCCCTGATTTGAAATTGTATTTTATAGCTTGTTTTTTGGTTGGAATAAGAGTGGATATTGCTGAGAAATGGAAAACTTTCAGAGATAGGATATGACCTGAGATTTGATTGGCATGGATATACCACAAATTTGTCGTACGATAAATTCAAGGGTTAAGGTTAGGGTTTCAGAAATCATTATGGTAAATTATACTGAGAATATGGAATAATGGGCAAACACAGATGGTTAACATATCACGAGATGGAAGAATTCTGTCAATGTAAAATAACATTAAGAGAGCAACTGATGGCACAGCTAATAGTTTTATTATTACAGTAATCAGAAAGATTTAGAATAGATAAAACAATGTATGGTGCTGAACATTGTAAAACTGATTTTAAAACAATTGTATACAAATGATGAATGTGTGATTGCTAAAATTATAAAATAAAATGATTGCTAAAATATTGATTGAAATTTGAAACAGAAGAAGAACAAGTTAGGGAAGTATGATAAAGTAGGCTAAAATTGTTGATTCTAGAAGATATTCCATACTTACTTAGTATTAAAAGATAAAGTTAGATCAATACTCCAATCATTACCAAATCAGAAAGTTGCAGGAACAGATGAAATATAAGCCAAAACAGTTGGTCGTTGAAATAAAATTGTAAGTTCTTGATAAGCAGAGGGAGGTGCTACCAGTGGGCTATCATAAATCCTGATTGGCCCATAGACTGAGAGAAAATTGTTGCAGCTATGCTTCTACTCCTTCTGCCCAGTTTCCTCTCAGTCTATGGCCCAATTAGGCTGGGTTTCTTCATAGCTCTTGCTATTTTCTGTGGGTTACATTTTTTTTCTGTAAGATTTACCATTATTTGAGGAGAATTTGGCAAATTCGGTCTATTTCTTATCAAAATTTCGTCAAACTTTGGAGATATTGATTCAGTGAGCGGGGGAGGCGTCGGGCTTGTCGCCTCCTCGCACGGCTCCGGATCGCACTCAGATGGATCTGACAGTGTTTAAAATTACAGCTCCACGGCAGACGAGATAAGAGGTGGCTTGAAAGTTAAATTATAGCTGGCTCGGGGGCAGCTGTGGCCCCGGGTGGCAGGAAAAGCCTCGGCTCTGTTTTAAAGAGTTTTTTCTGACAGCCCTTCTCCTTTCCTTGCAGCGAGCCAGCAGCTACCGAAGCGCTTTTCAGGAGTCGGCAGGCGCGCTGGCGGGATTCTTGCAGGGGGCTCCCTGCAAGCTCTCTAAGCGCTGTATTTGATTATCGCCATGTAATCCAGCATTTTGCTCAGATGCCCGCCATTTCTACTGAAGCGGCCGGCCATCAATTGAAGGTGGCGGCCATTTTGAGTTGCAAGGACAAGGTGGCCATTTTGAACTTTTAAAAAAGACTAGCAGTGGCCATTTTAGGTGCCACGAGGCTGCAGCCTTCATTATAGTGAGTTGGAAAGGATTGTAAAGGTCATTCCA